GCATAAAACGCGCTCTGTTATAATTAATTTAAATAAGTAACTGATAAAGCTATTATATTTTTCCATGTTTTTATCTAAGGGAGGTAACTTTAATTTATATAACTATAATTTTTTATAATCATAATTTAAACATTTTAAAAGCATTGCTATTATAGGCATTTTAAAATATTGTTGCTATACTCATAACTAACCGTATTTAGTGTTGGTTGCATGTTTCTTATACAAGTATTTGAAGTTTTTGTTTTTTCATTTTCATGATGGAGTATACTTGTATTGTCAGTTAATATTTTTCTAAATTTGAATGTGGGCATGAAAGTCTCTTTAAATGTTGTGCGATACAGCTTGTATCCGACATACGTAGTATAAGTCTCTTTGATAATATTGTTGTCGGGAAACCAACATATACATTTACGTTTTTGTTAAAGATTCAATCTTCCAAAGAACGTTTGAATTGATATACAATGTTGGTCTTTTGAACCATATTAGTTGACGTAAGTTGGTTGTATTAATTTTAGTGTAGTATATAATTAGTTATATTTTTTACTGTGATCAGTAGGGGATATATTAGTACTTATGAGATTTTAGGATATTTTCATCTTGTTTGTAGTTAGAATGTATTTGATTGCGACATAGTAGAGTGATATGTTATTTGAGGAAGAATTATGTGTTTTTTGATTGATGTTAATATTTCTAATAGCTCATCTAATTTTTTCATCAACAATATAATTAAGAAAGTCATGATTAATGAGAGTTTGTTTAATGTTTTTTTAATTCAGTGCAGAATTTTTTGTGGGAGAGTTAAATTTTGAACGGTTTATTAAATTTTGTATAATAGCTGTTTTGCAATAGGACATTGACTTTTATAGTCCAGAGTGGACATGTTTATGCTAGTTAGATTCTTTATATAGGGAGGTAGTAAATGTATTATTATTGGTATCTATCACTGCATCAAGAAAAGGGATGTTTTTGTTATTAAGTTCATGTGAATTTAAGAACGAAGTTTTTTTCGAAGATTTTTTAGTAGTTCTTGTATTTCATCTATGCTTTTTTTTTTTAAACTATGATGAGAATATCATCTACATATCGTAGGTAGATAGAGGGTTTTTTTTAGTAGTATTAAATATCTTATTTCAAAGTTAGTTATATAGAAGTTACTAAATGTTGGTTCCAGAACTGAACCCATATAATATATGTTTGGACACCAACCTTTGTTTCAGACATATTTCCTTGAATATGACAGACAAGCAAAATATGATGAATTTTTGAGTTTTTTTAGTATTCTTAATTTTTTTTTTCTGTTTTGTGCGAGTAAGAAGTGGAAAAATTGCCCGTTGTGTCTATTGTTTCAAGCACTTTCGGCCACTTCTTTAGCTATTTTCAAGGTTTTTTTTATTTTATTTTCTCTATTTTGTTAATTTCCTTTCAGGGTTATCTTTTAAGATGTAATTGTGTGATACTTATAGAATGTTAGTAGCTATTATTCCGATCCCCGCGAAAGGAACGTGGCTGGAATTCGAGTTGGCATCCTATTAAAAAAAAACCTTTAGCACATTATTTCCATTGTTAAATAAGGGGAGATAAGAAAAATTCCACAAAAAAATAATCAAACTTTCATTGTTTGTCGTATTAAACAAAACATGTCTGAAAGAAAGTTTTTGCCGAAATATATATATATATATATATATATATATATATATATATATATATATATAACAGAGACTTTAATTATCCATAATTAAAATCTCCGTCTTCTGATTATCATGATAATGCTCTGTAGTCTACATTGAACTCTCCCTGGATTTATATCCTCCTCGGAATTATCCCTTATATATATATATATATATATATATATATATATAATTATTTATTTAAAAATATGATTCCAACTCGCGACATAAGAGGTCTCATGTTTCAAAACAAGAGCCGAAAACTTCAATATAATTATTTGAATTAAATTGAATTACAGTAAGCTATGGTTCCATCTTCAAGCGAATTTTTTTTTTTTTTTTGGAATAACTTATTTCTGAAATTTACATGTTTTAATAGTATACTCATAATTGAAATCAAAATTTCCATGATAACAGCCAGGGCGAATTGTTTAAAATAGGTTGGAGTGTGTTGGGTGTTAATAATAAGTATCAGTATAGAGTTACTTTCATAGATGTCAAGTCAGGGTAAGGTGGGGGTGTCTAAATTTGAAACGGAAGATGTTTTCGACTAGTGTGGTTTACGTGTCTATGGAGATTTATTTATTTTTTTATTTTATTTCTTTATGAAAGGGATTTGTGCATATAAAAACTGCCGTAACATTTGTTTTTAGACGACTTCATAAAGGGTTATCTTTTTTTGTAGGGTATTTAAACTATTTATTTGGGCTATGGATTATAAAAGTTATTATATTGTATGCTTGTTTTTAGCTAATTATTCAGTGCATAAATTTGATGATGTCGGCAAAAAAACCGTTAACTCATGTCTATTGTTTAATAGATTTTTATTATTTAGAAACTTAATAATGTGCAGTTTCTCATGGAGGCACAAAGGGCATGGGTCATCCCAAGCTTTACAAGTTCTAGTCCTATTTATAATTTTCCATTTTACTTTAGGTGTCCTATTTATTTCCTTCAGATGTCAAAAATATTTAGATAGGGAAGTCTGATTTCTTTTATTTATATTGTTGAAAGAGCACTTATGCTGCCTCCATCTGGCTTTAAAATCATTCTTCGTGGACCCAATGAATATCATATTAGTATTAGGACTCTCAGTGGATGATATAGTACATTGGTATATATATATATTATTTACTAATGCTCACCTAATACAAGGGCCAGGGGCCGCTCAAGGCAGAGGATTACTGTGCGGAGTTGTATTAGCGAAAGAAAGGGGCAAAATAATAGGAAAGATAGTTTATTCTAGACTTGAAGATGTCAAGATTAAATTAGCGAATAAAATTTCAGAGTTCAGGAGGAGAGAAGTAGACTTTAAAAGGAACCGAAATCACAACCCTAAACAGGAAACGAGGAATAAACAACTGCTACTGTTCAAAAGATCGAGGAGGCGTGTGAACCGGATGATATATATATATATATATATATATATATATATATATATATATATATAAAGAACAGTAAGATATATAATCCGGCGTTCTTGTTATTTTTTATTTTTATTTTTACAAAACAGTGCTCAATGTAAATTTACAGAGCATAAATATTATAAATTAACTGATTTAAAATATGGTTTTTCGCTACAAAGTAATAATCATGTTTCAAAAATGGAAGCTAAAAACTTTAAATTTAATTATATAATTAAATTAAAAGCATTAGTTCCGTTTTCATCTTCAAGCGAATATTGGAATTCAATATTCGCTTGATATATATATATATATATATATATATATATATATATATATATATATTATATATTATGTTTATCTTCTCGTGTACGTCAGAAGAGTAAAAAATATTTCATTTACAGCATATACTCGTGTATAGTGCGATATTTTATTTTCAGTTTTTTCACGAAAAAAATAGGAGCTGACACTATACACAGGTAATTTTGGGGAAAGAGTTTAAAAATCACGAGGCTTATGGTCACATCACGTTGAAACAGCAGTTCATGTACGATCACCGAATTTAAGCAACGTCGAGCCTGGTCAGTACCGAAATGGGTGAACGCTTGGAAGTACCAGGTTCTTGGATGTGCGGGTGGCATAATGAACAATGGCTCGGATTTATAAATTGGAAAGCCGAGTTCCAACTCTGGTCAGGTTTGTTATAGTCACTTACGAGTAAATGTTATTGGGAGAGTTATGAACTCAGCTTTTCTCCCCAGCTATGGGTTAAATAGTAGGGCTTTTATTATTATTTTATTATCTTAAAAATAATTCTTACAGTCCCAAAAATATTTTCTGACTTTGAATAAGCTGCAAAAGGTTGATAAACCATGAAAAACAAATCAATCAATCAATCTCAGTCATTGTAAAGGGTGTTCCAATAACTTGGACCATGGAAAGATTAACAATCAAACATCGTGTTAAAGTTATCGAAGCCTTATACGAAAATGGACGTTCAAACAGAAATGCATTTCCCACACTTCACGATTTTTTTGGCCAACATAATCGACCAACCGAAAGTGCAATGTAACCTTGTTGTGAAGATGTTCAGTTCCTGCGCACGATGACGAATAGAGGCGTCTGGATTTTCAGCCACATTCTCCTGCACTGCAGCAATGTTTTCAGCTGAACGGCGTAAACGAGCAAGCAATGGTGTTTCCACATCTGCCACCGACCCAACTTGTTTGAATTTACGAACAATTTTTCCAGTTGCACTCTTGAAACTTTAACACGTTGTTTCATTGTTAATCTGTAAACGTAAACTGTTGAAATAAAGGATGCTCCAATAACTTGCATCCATTTTAAATGCGAATTAAATATAATAGCTTTAACAGTTGCTTTTTTTTAAATTAATTATAACAGAGCGCGTTTTATGCGTACGAAAAAATTGCAACTATTAATTACATTAATTTTTTGTCTTAGCGATTCACCCCTGAAGATGATCTCGGGTGAGGTTGAAATTGCCAAAGATTTAAGTTGTTAAATCTGAAAGAAAAAGGAAAAAGATCATTTGACGCTTAAACTTAATTCACATTTAAAATGGGTCCAAATTATTGGAACACCCTTTATTTTAACAGTTTACATTTACAGATTTTATTGCAACGAATGCAGTATTTTTCCTTAATTAAATTAATTGTGTTTGGTATACCTTACATTTGTACTTTCCTCTGGTTTCAGGATTGATTTATATAGTATCTTTTTTTTTTTTAAATATTAAACGGCATCACTGGTTCCTTACTTCCCTTGTTAGATAATATTGTTATTTATTTCATGAGATAATAGAACTCGTTCTTTATTAGATTTTGTATCGATTAGTGCAGCCATCTTTTTTCTAAGGCAAACAGAAAAGAAATAAATATAAAAATAAATCAAAAGCGCAGACGAAAAATCAAAGGCATTTGAAAACAACACTTCTTTTGTCTCTGTCATGAGAGTAAAAAAAATGCAGCAAATAACAGGGAAAGAGGAAGAGAGAGAGAATTAAAAAAAATTCGAGAAAGCGAGGGAAAGAGAAATAAAGTGAAAGAGACAGAAAAACAGGAAAGAGGCAGAAAATGTGAAAGTTAGCGATAGAAGGTGATACAATAAAAGACAGAGAAAAAGAGATAGAGAGAAAAATACAGCGAGAAAGAGATAGATAGATAGATAGATAATGAACAGAGTGTGAGAGATAGATAGATAGATAGATAGATAGATAGATAGATAGATAGATAGATAGATAATGAACAGACTGTGATAGATAGATAGATAGATAGATAGATAGATAGATAGATAGATAGATAATGAACAAAAAGTTGATAGATAGATAGATAGATAGATAGATAGATAGATAGATAGATAGATAGATAATGAACAGAGTGTGAGAGATAGATAGATAGATAATGAACAGACTGTGATAGATAGATAGATAGATAGATAGATAGATAGATAGATAGATAATGATAAAAAAAGTTGATAGATAGATAGATAGACAGATAGATAATGAATAGATGTGAGAGATAGATAGATAGATAGATAGATAGATGATAATGAACAGAGTGTGAGAGATAGATAGATAGATAGATAGATAGATAGATAGATAGATAGATAGATAGATAGATAATGAACAGAGTGTGAGAGATAGATAGATAGATAGATAGATAGATAGATAGATAGATAGATAGATAATGAACAAAAAGTTGATAGATAGATAGATAGATAGATAGATAGATAGATAGATAGATAATGAACAAAAAAGTTGATAGAGATAGATAGATAGATAGATAGATAGATAGAAATAGACTGTGATAGATAGATAGATAGATAGATAGATGATAGATAGATAGATAGATAGATAGATAGATAATGAACAAAAAGTTGATAGATAGATAGATAGATAGATAATGAACAGACTGTGATAGATAGATAGATAGATAGATAGATAGATAGATAGATAGATAGATAGATAGATATTGCTTTTCCGTGAAATTGACAATAACCATACTCTATTGATTCATATGCTCACACTGATTATATTTACAAACGCTTTCTCATCTATATTAAGCATTCTTTTCCCATATAGAACATTTTATAAAAGATATTTGTATCTATGTATGTAGAACCAGGAAACACTGTGATTCGAAACAAATAAGTAATCGGTAATACTGAACACACAATAATAATAATATATTATATATATAATAATATAGTAATAATACTAAACGAGATAAAAAATGAAAATTCACTTTCGTTTATTACTATATATGTATATAATGTCTGACCTCTCGTGTCTGATAGGGCGCCTAGCCAATCCGAGTTTCAGACGCATTCTCAGGCACATTTGTGTTTATACAATACCGACAGAGACCACCTCAGATTTATACTACAACTATGCTGATCGGACCTTAGTTACAGTTTCCGGCAGAGAGCGTGTTATCTGACTTGATCAACAGTCTGAATAAGGGCAGTACACTCAAAGTAACAATCATGATGACTTGTGACTTCGTGCTAGGGCAACCGTTGACGGCTCCCAAAGAGTTCCGTCTACTCATTGTCTCTCACAAGGCTTGGATCAACCTGTGGTAAGGTTCTCAGAAACTTTAAATAGGTGTTGCACGCTGTAACCGCCTCCTCCAGTCCGACAACATCAAGAAATCACCTTCCTGACAAATCGACCACAGTCAGTCAGTTATGTGCCATACGCGATACACGCTTATTCAATCATGTATCTTTCGATGCATGACTAACGAGGCAGATTTTTTCCCGCAGTAGGTTGCCATTTCTTTCTGCTGTAGACCAGTTGCCATCCAAGGTTATAGAACCCGATCTGTCCTGCTATTTACTCATAGCTGGTGGAACAAGAAGAGGATTCATATCTTTCCCTAGGGTATTAGCACATAAGTGAATGTAATGGATTCGACTGGAATTTGAACTCGGCTCTCCGATTTCTCAATCGATCACGGTTAGATTGAAACTGGGGTATTATGGTTTTATGATGTAATGTTGGAGGATGCTATGTTTTACGCCTCAATTAATATTTCATAATTCAATGTTTTATGATAGAGTGTTTTTATGTTTTGTCTTTAATTTTCTGCTAAATCGAGCATGATGAGATTTTAGCCAATCCTCCATGTCAACAGACGAGAGCGAAAGTGAAAGAGAGAGAGTGCGCGCGCAAGTGTGTGTGTGTGTGTGTGATTCTTACACCAGAAACGTCAAGATTAAAAGTTAATAAAGAAGTGGTCGTTAAAGGTGGCCAGACAAGCCACCCACTTAGTCTTGAAATGTTCTTCGATCTTTTTTTTCTTACTACTGCGACGCATACAATAGCTACCGGTTGTTATGACAACAATGCAATAGCAAGTTTGTTTGTAATGCCATTGTTTAACATAATAGCAATTCAAACAATAATGAATTGAATTTTACCGCAGATCACAAGTCGTGTTCAAACATGGGAAGAGTCCTCGTACAGATCGTTTGAATAAAAACAGCATAAAAAAAAATATTCTCCCATCCTGTCACCTGATCGATATTCAACTGGTAAAATCCTTTAGTCGGCTAGCATTATCGAACCCCAGAATTTTCATCGAAAAAAATAAACTATCCTCGCTTTTCAGACGAGAAATTACACTAATCAAGCAAAAAATAAATAAATAAATAAAAGTTCTTTTTTGCCATCCCATTTTTTTTAAATTTCCAATTTTGGCCTGAATAAAAAGAAATATTTATTTTACGCGAATTGGAACTTACTTTATTGGAACACCCTTTATTTCAAGAGTTTACATTTACAGATTTTTACTGCAACAAATGCAGCATTTTTACTTCTATTGCAACAAAATAACCATATTACTACCCACGTAGGTTTTAAAGATTTACTTAACACCGATACCATATAAATCCGAATGGAATTATAAAAACTCCTTTAATAAAAACAGCTAAGCAACTAACAAATAAGAACAGTTTTGTTTCCCGACGGGCTGATAAAATTCATCAAAATTGGTGAAGTTTAAAATTTTCTCGTCGGGTTTTCTTTTTTTTAAACCATTTCACCCCAAACAAAGCAACAAAGACATTAAGCGACAGCGGGGTTACTGAGTGTGAAATAATATAAGAAAAGGGAGAAAAAAAAGAACATTATTAAGACTAAAGAACAATAAAAGAAGAAGAATTAAGAAGGCATAAGATAACTATTAAAATTGCTTTTAAATTTTTGAAGATCAAACTTGACTGGAACGCAAGAAGCCGGAAGAGAGTGCCACAAGAGAGAAGTGCGAGAAAAGACGCTATTTTGTTGCCACACATGAAATGACGCGTTTTTTAGTTGTTTGTTGATTTGTTCGTCTAACAAAGTAATCTCTTGGTATATAAAAAATCTTGACATATTCCTGGCGCTTTTTCTTTCCAGATAATTTTTTTTTCAAAATATTACTGTTACTCATAATCCCAATAAAAAGGATTACAATAAAGCAATGTCGACTAATCTTACTGTACGAGTACAAACTGAGAAAAAGAACCATTTTTGCATCGAATCACTACATGAAATGAGAAATGGATACTCTTTGACAACGGTAAAAGAGTGCTTAGTCGCAAGTGAATCACCAAAACAATACACCAAATCTCCATTGAGCCCTAAAAAGTCAATGGTTATTATATGGTGGTCTTTCAAAGGGGTTATTCTTTATTCATTCTTGCCTTAAGGGAAAACAATAACAGCAATCTCGTATTGTGGAAACATTGAAAAAGAAATCCTAGATTTGTGAATAGGTATAGCCCAATTTTGCTGGACGACAACGCACTGTCGCACGCTTCTCAATCAACTGTCCAAATGCTGCATAGCCTGAATTATGAAATTTTGCCTCATCCTCCATAGTCACCTGATACCTGTCCTACTGATTATCACTTATGATTATCACTTACTTTGAGCATTTCACACGCAATAAAACATTCTCCAATAAGGAAGTGGTAATCAAAGTATTTGAACTGTTTATCACATCAAAGGATGAGAATTTTTTTTTAAAGATGGTAGCAAGAATTTAGAGGTACGTTAGAGAAAAATCATTTATCAATATGGTGCCTCTTTCACTAAATTTAAATTTATTTAACATTTCAGAAGCGTTTTATTCATTTTCTATAAAATGCGTCATTTCACGTATGACAACCTAATATTTGCATAGAGCTTACGGTTCTGGAATTTTTTTTTCCATCATTCTTACATTTTTCCGTTTGGTGAGAGTAAAGGAGTGCCGTATTTTCTATTGTCCCAAGCACTTTTGGCTAATTATTTAGCCATTTTCAAGGGAGTTTCTTTTTTGGGTGTTGCTAATATCTCTTTATGTTTGACGCTATAAGATGTTTTTGATTTGTTTTGAATGCAAGTAGCAGAGTTTCATCTGAGCTTCGTGTGTTGAGCGCGACTAAAATTCAAGTGGGAGTTTTTGTATCGTTTTTTTTTTAAACTTTCACAACCCCACTACCACTGTTGAATAAGGTGAGGTTGATAGTGGGAGCGAGATGTTTTATAAACAAGAAGATGATGTCTCCGGTAATTTGATTTCTATAGAATTTTCTGTTTTCGATTAGGATTTCCCTTAACGGATCTTGTAAATCGTGGGTGTCTAGATGTTTCTTTTTATTGCGCTTTGATATTCGGTAAGTGATATGTGAGGCGTCTACTCAAGGAGTTGGTAGTATATCCAATATAGGTAATTGATTTATGACAAGAAATACAGTGAAATTGATACACTATATTGGTCATCAAACTTCTATGTAAGCACAACAGAATGTCATATTTGATGGTGAACATCTCTGCTGTAATGTCCATATAACCTCTCTGAAGATGGTTCATGTGAGCCGAAAGCTTAGATCGACGACCAATATAATAAAGAAATATGCAAATGTTGGACAGTTTTTGTCTTTATTTTCTCTTGAAACTAAAGCCATTATAAGACACTTGGAAAGGCTCATATATAAAACATAAGAGATATTCGTTGTCTTTCATATTTAACAGTATATGTTTGAACACGATGCTGCAACATTAAACGATCCCAACACCAAGAAATTTCAATGGAACCTCGTCAAACGACAAAAGAACAGATCCACACAAGAATTGCAACGGCTCAACTCTGAAATTGTAAGTATTTAAGGAATCTTACAATCTTCCGCTTCAGCTGAAAAATCAAGGAAATATTTGATTTATTATGTAATATAACACAAAAGGAAATTGAATCCCATAAACAAGTCATAAAAAAACGGAAGAACAAAGAAAAAAATATTTTTACCAAACACCAACGACAACTTCATTAATCTATCGGATTATCAACTCACCCCAAATGAAATTGAATTCCTTAATCTTGCACCAAATTTTTACGTCGCACAGAAACCTAATCTAACGTTTAAACAAATGCAAATTGAAGCTTTATACCAACAAATACTTCTATTGCAACAAGATAACCATATTACTACACACGTAGGTTTAAAAGATTTACTTAACACCGATACCATATAAATCAAAATGGAATTATAAAAACTCCTTTAATAAAAACAGCCAAACAACTAACAAATAAGAACAGTATTGTTTCCTGACGGGCTGATAAAACTAATACTTTCATTATTTTAAACAAACATGAGTACCACTCAAAATTACAGGCCATTTTGGATGATCATAATAAATTTAAAAAGTTAACTAATAACACCATCTCTCAACTTAAAAACCATATCAATAAACTTATTACTGCTAACAATGCTGAACTAGGATCCTATAAACTTAAAAAGATTATAGGTGACTATCAACCTGGCTACCTTTAAGGAAAATATAAAAATCCATAAAAAAGATCATCCCCTTCGACCTATCATTTCACAAACACCTACACCAGTATATTATCTTTCAAAAACTTTTAACAAATTAATTACTTCATACCTCCCAAATAAATATTGTATTAACTCCGCAAACGAATTTGTGCAAATTCTTCATGCAGTA